GACAGAGATTGACGCTCTTCAACGTAATCATACATGAGATCTTGTCTCCTTACCTTTAGGGGTGAAGCCTGTTGGCTGTCGCTGGGTTTACACCCTGAGGTTTCTTGCGGATGGTACTATTGATCGTTACAAGGCTAGACTTGTGGCGAAGGACTTTACTCAGGTACCAGGTCGTGATTTTGGTGCTACATTTTCCCCCGTGGCAAAATTGAGTACTGTTCGGTTGATTATTTCTCTGGCTGCGGAGTACTCTTGGCCTCTTCATCAGTTAGATGTGAAGAATGTGTTTCTTCACGGTGATCTGGACGAGATTATTTATATAAATGCACCACCGGACTTTCGTGGTGAGGGGGAGTATGTTGGAAAGGTATGTCGACTGCGTAAGTCTCTTTATGGACTGAAACAGTCACCACGAGCCTGGTTCTCTCGCTTTAGTGATGTAGTCGTACGATTGAGGTTCACCAAATGTCATTCTGATCATACCTGCCTTATTCGACAGAATACTTCTGGACAATGTGTCATTCTTCTGGTATATGTTGATGATATTATTATTTCTGGTGATGGTGTTTCTGGGACTGCGCAGGTCAAGATAGACCTTGGGAAGGCCTTTGATGTGAAGGACCTTGGATTTCTGCGATACTTTCTTGGGATTGAGGTTGCCCGTAGCAGCAAGGGTGTTGTTCTTTCTCAGAGAAAGTATGTTTTGGATCTTCTTTCAGACACTGGGTTGCTGGGGTGCAAACCCGCATCATCACCCATGATTCCAAACCTGAAGCTTACTGCTGAACGTGAGGAGTTGAGAGATCCGACAGTTTATCAAAAATTGGTGGGTAGACTTATCTACTTAGCCAATACTAGGCCAGACATTTTATTCACAGTCAGCCGAATTAGTCAGTTCATGCATAGGCCGTGTCAGCCTCATCTTGATGCAGTTTATCATATTCTTCGGTACCTCAAGTCTTGTCTTGGACTTGGGTTGTTCTATACATCAGGATCTCAGACTGGTTCTCTAGCCTGTTATTCAGATTCAGATTATGGAGGATCATGTGATGGTCGATCTACTACGGGCTTCTGTGCTTTTCGAGGGACTCATCTTATCTCTTGGAAGAGCAAGAAACAAACAGTTGTCTCCCGCTCGTCAGCAGAGGCAGAGTATCGGGCACTAACACTTGGCACGTGTGAGATTATTTGACTACGATCGATTCTTGGCGAGTTGAAATTTTCAGTGACTTCTCCATCCACATTATATTGTGATAATCGATCTGCTATTCAGCTCGGTTCTGACTCTGTATTACATGAGAGGACGAAACATATAGAGATTGATGTTCACTTTCTTCAGGAAAAGGTTAGCAGTGGTATTGTCACTCCATTATTTGTGGGGACCAGTGATGAGGTTGCAGATGTTTTTACCAAACCTGTCACTCTATCTATTCTTCGGGATTTCGTTGTCAAGTTTGGCTTAATTGACATTTTTGCGTCTAACTTGAGGGGGAGTGTTGGAGATATAGCAGCAGACTAGTTTATTAAGGTTTTTTATTAAGTTTTTTTTTTACCTTTTTGTCCTTATTGTAACTCTTATTGATTATATATACGGGGGCTCTACACTTAGTTTGTATCCCTTTTTCACTTACGTTTATTTCAAGTTACGCAAAGGGTTATTTTCGATTGTTCAAGTTTGTAACGGGTTGTTTTGGACCTCTACATTTTTAATTTGTGTCTTTTAGTTGCTTAAGTTTTCATTAATGTCCCTCAATGGTGGTCACATGAGATACATGAGACTATCTTTGTTAGCTCATTTAAATCATCATTTTCAATTGGGCAAAAATGACATAAATTGAATAGTTGAAAGACTAAATTGATACAATTAAAAAATTAAAAATAAAACTGTCACAAAATGCATTATTTGGGGATACAAAAATATATTTTGCTATAAAGTTTTGTTTTATGGGGTTGGTTGGTAGAGCAGAATTCAATGAATAGTTTAAGTGATAATCAAGACGAACGATAAATTCAAACGTTTTGAGTTTAAATTTTGACAATTCTTTAGGACTAGGTAATGAGGAATAGTCCCGGCATTGATGGGTCTGTTTTTGACCTGATCAAATAAAAGATTAAATGAGATACGCATAAATTAATTTAAAACTGTCAAAAAAAAAATTAACATTCAACAGGGCTTCGGAGAAGAACTACAATCGACCAATACTATATACATCATCCATATGAATGGATGGGTCTTATTTTTCACGTTTGGATTCAGAGAGGCATGTGATGTGACTTAATTTTACTTTTGGCATTACAAAATTGGTGAAACACTTTATAATACACCACATGACCACATGCTCACCAAGAGTTTTGGGAATTTGGATCCTTTCATGTTTAAAACTTATGAGTTTGGTGCAGTTCCATTTGTCATTCGTCGTGTTGTGGAATCGAGTTACATCCCAGCCACACAACATTTCCATCTACACATCCATAATACTATTTAGGCTAATTTGTTTTTTTTTTTTTTCAAAATGTTGGAGTTTGACGTAAACTCTCTAAATATTTTATTATTTATTTATTTAGTATTAGTTTGTGATTAAAATTTTAATGAGTTTAAGAATTTTGACCCATATAATATTCTAGTTAGCTTTGATGTGTTTTATTAAAAGTAGAATAGGATTAGAATTGTTTTATTCATTAAAAAGGCGTTCTTTATCATGTAATGGCAGAATATTTGATATTGAAAGATTGTTTTTTTCTTTTGATGTGAACCTTTGATGCCAGCCTTTTCCGTTCTTTTGTTTCTTGATTTCTTGTTTTATTCTTTTGGGCATTGATTAAGTTTTTGTGTGTATGCAAGATATTTAAGTGTTTGATATTATTTTGAAATCTTACACACAATTCAATGGTTCTTATAGATTGATAAGAAAAAAGTTACTGGAAATTTTATCAATGTAGCGTCTAAGATTGTATATTTTTTTTTGTTTAACGATTAGAGATAGAGATGACAGTGGACTTAGGTCGAAGCGGGGGGAGTAGTCTCCATCCCTGTACCTGTTTCAAAAATATTTGTCCATCCCTGTTAACGGGAGAAATTTTAATCTCCGTCCTCGCTCGATAGATAAATTTTGATCTCCGTCCCCGTCCATAGCAATTAATTCTATAATTTTAAGAAAAAAATTGAAAAAAAACATAAAATCCCCCAAATAATTCTGCAAGAAGGATGAAATCACATTATATAACAGATGAATAAAAAAAAGAGAGAGAAAGTAAAGTATTTTTTTTTTTTGTAAAGATTAGAGTGTTTGGGTGGGTAGAATTTGTGATATATATATATATATAAGTGGGTGGGAGAATGGGTGTAGTTTGTGTCTTTGCGAGTAGGGCTAAATTACATTGAGTTCGCCCTCACCAAAGATATATAACAGGTGGACTAGCTCGAGGGCCAACTATGTATCAAAATGGAAGCAATCCAAGATCTATTACAAGCGGGATAAACTCTCAAGCATCTTTTTGTGAAGAAATGGCAAAACAAGTCTCAAGTAGAAATGGAAAGATATCTGTAAAAACAAGTAAAAAGTTTACAATCAACGCCAAGGTAACTCAAGTAGTAACATAAATAAGTTGTAAATGCAGACATTCCAAGTTTAAATATTGGCAATTAAGGGGTTAGATTATGAGAGATTTATCCTTTATAAATACTCTAGTTCTGACGTGAATAATCTGTTTTTGACCGAACCGAGGAGAGAATTAGTAGAGATGTGCGTAAGTTAACTTGAACATATCTGACTAGAGATGACAGTAGATTAAGAAAAAACGAATATTCGTCCAAATCTGTCCCGTTTAGACTGGGGGATAGACCATATATATTTGACGGTGAACGTATACAGTAATACTCGTATAAACCCGTATGAGAATAGACTAAAACTCATCCCTGCCTGGCCTCGCTAAACTTGTCATATATATATGTGCAAACTTTTTTATTCTAGTTAAATGCATGGAATAGAAAAAATCCAAAGAAAATTTAAAAATCAAACTAAACGCATCAGAGTTCAAAGAGGAAAAAAAAACAAAAAATGTCTCTTTCTTATCCTCCTTTCGTTTTTCCCTCTTTTTGGCGGAAGTAGAATTTCCACGAACATTACAAGCTATACTTTTGGGTGGCAATCGAGTTTTATTGTTTGTATTTGATTTGTATTTTTTTAAGTTCACATCAATATTAGTAAACCCTAATTTTACTCATCTAGTAATCATGTCAAATCTCTTGACACTAACCCAACCTACTATTTATTATCGGGCATATTCGTGTTGAACTTCATAATCAACCAACTAAGAGCCTAATGTCAAGATGTTAGTTATCCCTTAACCAAGCCTACTGCCCACCAGTTCTCATAAACTAAAAATACATTTAAACAACATGCTAACAAAATCAATAATTTCTTATAAATAACTAAAAGAAATACATACATTTTTCTCAATAGCTGTTAAATGAGTTCGTCATGTAAAAATTATATTATTTATATTTGACATTATTCAACTCATATATTATTCCCTTGAGCAAGTCATGACGGATTTTTATTCATGTCAATATTTAGTCAACTTCAACCCGTTAATTTTTAATTAAATTCATTTTATATCTTCTCCGCATCCGTGAGAATATTCCCACCAATATCCTTTGGGCTAGTTTTTATTTTAAAAATGCTGCAAGGAAATATGTTCTGGTTGCATATACATTCCATAAAAAGAACATCAAATCATCTTTATTGAAAATCCATTTTAGTTTTCTCTTCGGTATTAGCAAAAGATGTAGACATCTCATTTTCCACTTACGAAAATAATCTGTGTATGTGTGATAAAATTGTGTACATGACCCCTCAAACCACATTTGTGACAGAAAACCTGTGTACTGAACTGTCATTTTTATGACCAAAAAAAAAAAAAAGAACTGTCATTTTTCAGGTAGCTCAAAATACTCGAGCTTTCTTTAGCTAAAGAACCCTTGACAATGATATGCTTGCATTTCCTAGTAAACCATGTCTGAAACAACCTTCAAGTGGAGGATATGATCTGTTAATGCATGGCGTCATAACTCAGAAACAACACAAACATGTAACTTAGAATAAGTAAGAAATGGAATAAGAACAAAGAGAAGGCCAAGTATGCTTTGTGAAAAGATGTATTTTCTTTACTACTAATACAATACAACTAGATTTGAAAAGCGACCCCCAATTTGCACTTACTACTGTCTCCTTCCTCTCCTTAGGTAGTCCATTCTAATTCCCCACAACTGCTCCCCCACCGTCTTCATGTCCGGGCGATCTGATCGCATGGGTCCTGCACAATCAATTGCCAAACCAAACATCTTCAACAGTATCTCCTCGTTTACTGCTTCGTTCATTAGAGGGTCCAACATCTCCGCGACATTTCCTTCATTGTAATTTCTGAAGGCCTACACAAACACAAATAGCGAGGTTTGCATTAAATATGCAATTAGTTTAGTTGAATGTATTAGAATGTTGACAACAAAGAAGGGTGAAGCTGTTTTCAACACCCTTACAATGAGCCAGCACGAATTCTGGTTTTAGAGGCTGAAGTCAATTGTATCAAATGATCATGTAGTCATGCTAACTCCAGAATCCACAAATATTTTCAGTGTAATCCCCTTGAAATAAATGGTTCTGAATTGGGGCAAACAAAGGTGTAACTTCCCTAGTGCTAAACTGGTTCTACTGGTTGTACAACAGCGATTTTATCTCAAGGGAAGTTATAAACTTACCAAATGTGGTTCAAGATATTGTTCCAACTGATTCCATGGTGTTCACCACCCGGATTATCAATGGTACAAGGAAAATGTTAAAGGAGACCACAGTAGCGTCTTTTCATTTTATTGGAGGGGCTAATTAAGTTCTACACTTGAATAAGCCCCTCTGAGAAAGTGCAATGTCACAACTGGGAACTTTCTAAGGTCTCAGCTATCAATTCCTTTGTAGCACTGAATCAGGTTAGCCATGATAAATATTGTCAAGGACTCGGGAGAAAATGAGAAGCTTACCCATCTAAGCGTCACCCTCTCATCAACATGTCTGTTCAACTCTAAAGGCCGACGGCACGTCATAATTTCCAATAATAAAACCCCAAATGAGTACACATCGCTTTTTGGGGTGAGTTGATAAGTCTTCATATACTCAGGGTCGAGGTAACCGACTGTCCCTTTCACTTTGGTTGAAATATGTGTTTTATCAGAGTCCTGATCTCCAAGCCTTGCAAATCCAAAATCGGCAACTTTTGCTCTCATGCTCTCTGTCAGAAGAATATTGGATGACTTCACATCGCGGTGGATAATTGGCTTCTCTGTTGCAAGGTCAATGAAATAGTAGGAATTAAACATTTGAGACACAGAGCAATGGCATACACATTACAGGAGGCTATGTTGCATGAACACTTCAACATTTGTTGGCCCATATTTTCCTATCACTAATTGTTGATATATGTCTGACAATAATTTTTGCATTACTTGCTTCAACAATTCTGGCCATGAGCAAATACAATCAATTCTTACCTTTTTGTTATCTCACCGACTAGTATATATCAACAGATGAACAAATTATTTGTGAGCTTGAACACTGCAAATACTACTACTCTTGTATATTAATCCAATAGCCTGTTTGTATGAGCCACAATCTTTAAACAAAAAAAGAAAGAAAATCCTAGGATACAAAGATAAGTCCCCACTATGTTGTCCTATTTCACATCAGAAAGGCTTTTGCTTTTTCGTTTTACAAATTAAGGTGTAGTTTGAATCCCACAACGGCAACAACACATCTGTTCACAGATCCCCCTTTGCGTTTGTTATTGAGATTAAGAACAAGAGAAGAAAAACTGGAACCAAAAAGCCACTATTATAATCAAAGAAACTCGTACTCCAATTGACATTGTGATGTAGATCGTAATAGCTGTGATACCAAATTGATGTAAATCGTAGTAGGGAAGAAGAAGGGAAGAAGAAGGGGATGAAAAAGAAGAAGAATTTGAGGAAGAAATAATATCAGGATTCAATATCAGTTATCAATAATAATTAAAAGTCTAGTCTCACAACAAATATGTATCCCCTATATATATAAGGAGTTCACAAATCCTATATATATAAGGAGATCACAAACTCTAAAATAAATAAATAATCAAAATGACAACTAAACCTTTAAAAGTTAAAAAAAAATACTTAAAAGATAAATACTACATTACTCTCATGATTAATCTAAAATATCTATCAAATTCCTACACGACCCCCATCATTCTCTTCTATTTGAGAAAAACTCTCCTCCGGAGAGTCTTCCAAGTAGAAGTACCCTACGAGAGCAGAACCAAGATGACAGAATGCTTCATCTAGAATGAAAGAACCATCAATATCTTTCCATCGATCAGAATAAATGCAAGAATCTCCATCTGTAGCAATGTAAATTTAGTCACGTAGCACATCATCTATTTGCCCCGAAATATGCGATGGAAGTAGAAAGATAAGAACTGGAGCTAATGTTGAGAAAGAAGCAATTTCATTTGTAGAAACACCTAATAACAAAATAGGAGGTTCTGGAGTACCTCGATTAAGTAGTATGTCCTTCAAATAAAAATTTGGACTAATACTAACATTTAATGAGAAATTAAGCAAATAAGCATTAGATCCAAATTCAAGAATAGCAAAATAATTCTCATTAGATTTGAACAAAAGACATTCAGTGGGATAGGACATCAATGACAAATGAGTGACTATAACACCCTAGTGTTAAAAATAAGAAAGTACAGACTCAATTGAACACTTAACAGTAGGCAAAGAATCAAAGTTAACATTCTCAAGTGGGGCAAAATCCAGAACAATGTCAACAATCTCAGATTGGGAAGAATCTGTAATAAAGTCATGATGACTTGGACAAGTAGACACAGAATAGTCACTAGTAGATTCTACAATAAATGACTCGATTGGGTTAATATCTTACATAGGTGTAGACTCAACAAACTTTTTCAAAATTTTTAAGACCAATGATGGTTCAAGAATTGACACAAACAAAGACTCACACACACGTTATTTCGATATGAACTCTTGTGGGTGTAAAGGAGGAGGACTCTGATCTGATGAAATTGAATGAGGGAGTTGAAAGTCAATATGAGTAACATTTTTCTCTTTATCTGATACTAGCATATCTAAATCTTTTGCCACATTTGGATTAAGAAAGCATGCAGAAATTACATGGACATCGTTCAAGTAATCATGATACTCATAAGTGGTGGAATATCAGCAGGCTGTTGAGAATCCATCAAGCTATAGTTGGATTTCTTATGAAATCTCTCAACCTTTAGAACATATTGATAGGCTACAACTAATGTATTAATAGTGTATTGTTTGACCTCCCTACTAATTTTGTGTCTCAACCCAAGAATAAACTGATCAATTGTCCAAGGTTCTTCAACAATATCACACAAGTACATGATATAATCAAATTGGACAAAGTAATCAAAGACACTAAAAGAATGTTGTCTAAGATTGAGCCATTGATGATAAACTTGATCCATGTAGGAAGTTGACAAATACTTCTCTTTCAATTTATATCTCATTTTAACCCAAGTGATAGGTGATTCTCCTACGGGATCTAGGCTTCTTTGGATTGTTTGCCAATACTTCTTGAAAGAACCCTTCAACGTCAATTTAGCAAAACGGACGCAATGAGAATCCGACATGTCATGCCAATCAAAATATTCTTCTAAATTAGCTAACCAATACAAGAATTCAAAAAGATTTAAAGTGCCACTAAATATAAGGATCTTTGACTATTGTGGTCATATGAGTTGACTCCATGTAAACATCCCTAGACTTCTATGATGATAACCTCGACAAGAGATTTTTGAAACATGTGCATTAGGCGAATTCATGAGTGACTCTTGAAAGAGAATGTTATAAGAACAAATTTAAGAATGCAATTGACAATTTCAAACAAGTTTAAATAGAAAAAAATGTGTTTTGGACACTTTGCAAATTCTCTAATTTTTCAATGAATAAAAATATTAGTCTCAAATTCTATGGGAGTATGCATACCATAATTAAAAAAAAAATTAAAACTTTTTGGGGATGATTTTACAATTTTATGGATCTGTTGAGGATATTTCTGCAATTCTTTAACTTCTAGGGGGAATATTCTGCAATTTTTAAAACTTTTGGTGGTGGTTCTGTAACTTTTAGAACTTTTTGGGGGTGTTTTTGTAATTTCTGAAACAGATAGGATGTTGATGTAATTTTCTGAACCTGCTGGGACAATTTTTTTTTTTTTTCACTTTGCGTATGGCGATGAACAGTATTTTTCGATGAACAGTGAACAGTCGCAATAAACAGTGCGTAACGATGAACAATAAATTTTTTTTTGTTGTGATTTATACGAATCGAAGTTAGGCTCTGATACCAAATTGATGTAAATCGTACTAGCTCTGATACCAAATTGATGTAGATTGTAATAATTCTGATACCAAATTGATGTAGATCGTAGTAGGGAAGAATTAGGGATAAGAAGGGAAGAAGAAGGAGATGAGAAAAGAAGAAGAAGAATGGGTGAGAAAAGACAGAGAATTTGAGGAAGAAGTAATATCCGGATTCAATATCAGTAATCAATAATAATCAAAAGTCTAGTCTCACAACAAATATGTATCCCCTATATACATAAGGAGTTCACAAATCTTATATATATAAGGAGATCACAAACTCTAAAATAAATAAATAATCAAAATGGCAACTAAACCTTTGATAATTAAAAGAAAATACTTAAAAGATACATACTAAATTACTCTCATGATTAATCTAAAATATCTATCAAATTCTTACACGATCCTCATCACATTGTTTTGTGGGTCAATTTTCTGTGCGCTCTGGCAGAATAGTTCTGCCTGAAGCTCAAATGGGATATAAAATAATCACAGAAGCAATTTAATAGAGTGTGTCATCACCTGCATATAGATGGAGATACGTTAGGCCGTGAGCAACATCAATGCAGATTTCCAGTCGTTGTTTAAAATCCAGGATTTTGCCCCGCAGACCTTACAGGAGCAGCAGCCAAAACTATCAGCACTAAGTTACATCCCAAATTAAAATATTGGCAAATCCTTTAAGAGTTAGAGAATTTTACCATCAAGATGCTCTCTAAGAGTACCATTTGGTACATACTCTGTGATGAGAAGGCGCTCATTTCCTTTATCAATATAGCCAAGTAGCTTCACTAGATTTCGATGTTCAATTTTTGCCAGAAGTTCAATCTCACTTCTGAATTCAGTTCGTAGAGCTTCAAAGTGTTCCTATGCAGTGGTTTTATGTTGACATGTTAACATTCTGATATACTTTTGACGGAAAAAATTAGAGAAGTGCATAAAATGAAACCTTCTGTTTCCCCAAATCCAATCAATTCGTTTCATTTTCGAAAAAACCAATCATTTGGAAACAACAGACAAAAAAGTATTTTATGTGACAAATATATCCATCATTGGCAAAGATAAGACAAAATTAGCATCACAAGAATTTCACAAGCTAAGAGCATTGAAATATGATTTTCAATATACTAATAGGCTATACACTACAAAGTAGCAAACCCAGTCTATATTTCTCTTCAAGTTCTTCAGAGAACAAGCATAATGGAGAAGTGGTGCAGAACAACTGACAAAAAAATCCAAGATAATTAATGCTAAATCTTCTTGGCTTTCACCTATGCCAAAAATAGGAGGAAGAAAGAACCTCTCAGCCCCATTATGATGCCTTCCCTCGTCAGCAATGGTCGAATAGTGGAACATGGAACATTAACTAACTAGCTATAATGTGTAGAGAACTTCTGCTTATCCCTTATCTTTTCCCTTTTTTTCCTTCCTTTAAAGGACATTGCTCTTTTTCTACGACTGGGCAAGGCACTTGTCAAATAAAACTTATTCAACATGCCATTTATGCATGTGTGTCTCACACTAGTTTAAAAACATAAAATAAACTCAGTGGGGACTGGGAGAGAAACCAACAGCCAAAGGAAAATTTTGATTGATAAATCAAAAGTCTATTGCAAAGAGTTGATACCTAATATGTCTTGGAAAAAAGACCACAAACCCCAGAAAAGATTAAAATCTAGCCCCTATGCAACTCTAGTCTCAGCCATTCAATATAACTTGAATGGACTCAATAAGATAATTCGTGCACAGTAACCCTAAAACGACAATTCCCTAAATAGTTGCTACTGCATCAATTTTTTCTCCACTTTACTAGACTTGCAATAAAATTATCACCTTTTTTGTTACTTTATATTTCATGGCATGTTGATGCTCAAAATTTTAACACGAATTCGGGGTTTTGCAATTTGCACACATGAACTGAAATACAGAACGTTCTGTGTGTTTCACAGAACAACAGTATGTGGTTAACTTTTTCAAAACAGAAAAAGGCAAACATAAACAATGATATATTGATGTCTAAAGATTTTCTAGACATTTTAGAATGTGTTGAAATTTTGTCCCTCAAATCTAAACGGAGAGGAATAAAAAGAGGGCGTGACAACATGCTTCATTTCTGATACCACGTGACACTATTCCTCCTTTATTCTATGCAAAGCACGTCCAAGTTAAAGTTTATTTCCTTCTAATTTTTATTTCTTCAAAAACTTTTGCGAAACTGCACTCATCTTGATTTGAATCTGCAGCTATGTAGACTGTTCCACATGCATTAGAACAACAAAGTTGTTCTTACTTTTAAACTAGAATGAGCAATTATATCATTATTAGAGTAAGACTAATATGTAGAGGTTGTATGTTCAAGGTCATGAGAAGGAATTATAGCTTACCTTCTTTGCTCGTTTTATGGCAACAACCTGTCCATCTTGTAGCTGGGCCTTGTAGACAGTTCCAAACCCTCCTTCACCTAACTTCAGTGATGGTGAGAAATTTTGGGTAGCTCTAGTAACCTGATTCATATTGAGATGAACTGATCCAACTCTATTAAGTTGTGGTGACATGGAAAATCGAGAGGGACTAGGTGGCACTCGCAATGGACTGGCAGGAATCTTTTCAGGAACGGAGTTGATTTCCAAAGAGGAAACTGAATCCACTGCAAGAGCAATAAAACTAATTCATGAACTGCGATGAGATTGAACCAGACTGCAACAGAATGAATGCAAGCTAACTAAACAAATATTAGATGTTGGCAATGAACTCCTGGAAAGATATTATCTACAACCAATTCTTTAGTATTGGTATCACCAAACTCAACTCAAAAAATGTCCCCATGTATCAGTGAAAGTCATTCACTGTTATTGCTTTGCAGCTTTGTATTCACGATTCCCGTATCAGATGTTGACAACATTCTACAACTCAAGTTACCGAATTTAGTTTTGTACTTCACTCACTTGAAATAGGGTCCCTCGCAAGAACAGCATTGGTAGTTTCTTTCCTTCTGGTGCGGAAGCAAGGGCAAAGTAAACAACAACAGAGACCGAAAATTCCAGGGACAGCCATGGCCAACCTTTTTGGGGTTAAGAGAGATGTGTGACCATCTTTTTCTTTACTCGCCTGGATTCTCTGACCAAAACCATGTCCTGTATATTCTTCTCTAACCACCTCCCGCAAAAACCGTCTTCCTGCCTCCAGACCCAACTCATCTGCACGATAATAGAAAAAAGTACAATTTTACTCAAGGTGCCAGCAATCAACCACAACCTAGGAATTTGAAAACATAAATACAAAAAGTGTATTTTCTTTTTAATCTAGAACGGATGATATGCAGGACAGAAACTCAGGTCAACATTTTGAAATTGTGCAAACCTAATGAATGATCCGATCCACAGCGTTTATATATGACATTTCCTGTATATAAGCAATGATTCACATGAAGCAATTTCAGGGCTTGACAGAACAAATCTTTGTCTACCAATTTCCCATTTATGTAAAACCATTCATGACTAGAATCACTTGAATAGCTGATGCGATAATTTCCACGAGCCTTTGAGTGTATCAAGAACCCAGAGGCGAACCCTCTTGGCAATTGCACCACCAAAAACAGAAACAACACAATGGCTGCCATTCTTAATGAACTATCATACACCAATTTCTTCTTTCAGAACCAAAGCATAATGGAGTCATTGCTATTCTGTAGACCGCAGCCAATAATAACTAGACAAACAGTACATAACAATATGATAAGCAACCCACAGGCACCAATTCACCAACCTGAAAGCAGATAAGCCCAGATGGAAAAATATTCCAAGTTCAATGACAGAAAATGCTCTAATTAGGCATGCTCAATTTCCACAATCCCGGGTGAATCAAAACCTAGTTGACAAATGGAACAAACCCAGATACAAAAAGAGCTAAAAGAGCACAAGACAACTAACTTCAATTCCCCAAATCAGTTAAATTCCATCATAGACTCCGAAGCCCCATTAATGGAACTTTCAAGAACTATAAATCTAAACTCCAAGAATTCAAGTGCCAAAACCTCAGAATCAGACTAAATCCTTAGGTGCCCAATTTACCAAATCCAAAAATGAGACAAACCCATCTGAGACAACAGCTAAACCCAACAGTCCAATATTCAAAAACCCATTATAAAAACTCTCTGTGGTACTTCTCTACCCATATTGAAGAGCACCACCCATCATAAACAAGATTCTTTCATACTCAATTCATTAAATAAACAAAAAAACCCCATAAATTGAGGCTATCCAGACCGGGAAACCACTAAAACAAGTAAACCCCGCGTTCAAAGGGTTTACACCAGTGCTCCAAGAGCGTATAATTTAATGGTTAAGAATAATTGGAGTGAGAAAACCAGCCCTGAATAAAGGCGGCTGAGCTTGGAGAGATAGAAATTTATTAGGCTATAATTGCTTGGATTATTTAGTCAAAGAAGAATCAAGAGATGGTTGGAAGACCGGCCGAGGTAGTAGAAGAATGTGGGCTCTGACGTAACTTCTTTGCTGTCTCTATGTATTTATGACCATACGACATGCGATTAATCAAATGAATTCGAATAAATAAATCAATGTAAAAATATATTAACGACACTATAAAAATTTATTTTTCAAAAAACCTACTAAAAAGATAGAGAGAAAGAAATTAATATGATTTGAAGTTATTTGAATGTAGATTTGTGATTTTTCATTTTTTAAATAGGGTTATTTGACAATAAACTTAAAATTATTTAAAAATATAAGATTAGTAGAACATAACCAAATTTATTTTAGTTAAAAGTTGAGTAATTGGTATTCTTTGTGTTTGAAATAGTTCAAAGAAAAACTTGCTATGCAAAAAGTTTAAAAAATTTGTTCAAAGTTAATCTATTTCGTAATGCAAATAATCTTAAACAAGTTAAAATTGTACTAAAATCGAAATTCTCATATGGTTCAAGAGCCTTATATAAGCCGTATGGGTGAGACGGATTCGTATCGAATCATAGTAAATTTGTGTCAAAAAATATTTCATATCTATCTATTCGTATTATATATAAATTGAATATAACTAAACTAATATATATACAAATTGTGTCTTATATTTCTTTTATTTTGACTTCACTTGTACTCTATTGATCGTGGTGTGGCATTTTTACTCGTTTACAAAATAAATAATTTTAAAAAAATTCAAAATTTTTAATCTTATACGATATTAATATAATACGTTTGGCGTAAATTTTACCATCCTAGCCGTGTACACGTGAACCCACACCAAATAAGAAGGCTTTGGTAACGTATTTGGTAATCCGTTTACACGAGGTTTGACATTTCAGAAGTGCTCCTCTGCGTACTGGGTACGATGATGAGATGGATAATTGGGGTTGAAAGAAAAGGTTTAAGTTATGGCCCCACCGAAGTAGCTGACAGTTGGTGAATTTTTGAAATTTAGTTACTTTTACCCCCAAAATTACAAACCTTGCTATATATGGTATAATGAAACTCATTTTTATAAGTAAAACGCCAAAGGAACACATGTTTTAAGATTGTTATTTTTCTTTTGGCCCGGACCGACCCGACCCGGACCAGTATTTTTATATGTTTTATTCCCAACACTTAAGTTAAAAATTGGAAAAAAAAAAAGAGGATCGGTAAATAATATTAGAGTTAATAGGAAAGAAGTACAAATTTTAACAATATTTGTAAAAAAATCCACCCAATACAACAAAAGTCGATAATTATCGTTTATGAAGTTAAAGAGATTTTTTACTTATATAAGAAAACCGTCGAGAAGAACGGTAAAAAATTGACTATGATTTAATTCTTTCAATTTTGAATCAAGTTTATTCAAGAAGCGAATAGTTGATACGACTTTTCTGAGTGCATCGCATCACCTCATCTAGTTGGTACGAGTTTACTACCGAGTGCATTATCTCGCACTAAATGCAAGTTTCCCGTATTGAACCCACCACCACTATCCAAAAGTTGATGCCACTACAGAAGAACAAAGAAGTCAAGCCCATCTAGCGAGTTATGGGCCATTGGCTAATCGGTTAGATGATCTATTGTGTCCCTAATTGTCCACAACATTGAGCTTTGCAAAGATACTTTACTTTCACTCAAGCATGTCTTCATATCTGATCTGATCGATATATGAAGTAACTATCTGTATATTCATTTTCAAAATCCGTTAAAACTACTAGTTTTTGAAGTACCCTATATATTTTCAGAATTACCCGTTAAATTGAATTGATAACAATAAAAAAAACTACTTCTATTAGTAATACTTATACTAATAAATGAGTAGCCTTATTATTATTAGACTGAGGAATGTTAGACTAATCAAGATACGAGAATAAATTATGTGATATTATCATAATGATCTTGTTGATCCAATTTTTATAAATTTGAAAATTTAAAATTTTTTTGTTATGATAATATCATATCATTTGATTTCTATTTTTAAATTAATTTAACATTACTATATAAGTAATAATAGCAATTCTTATTACATTATATATTTAAAATAATGGGCCTAGCGGAACCCGAAAAATCTTACTTGGGTCCCCAGGAATTTATGGCATGGGCAACCATCTTACTTGTTTAGGCCTAGGACGGCCCTGCATAACATCATCGAGATTTTGGCATAGGAGACTTTTTAGATAACACTGATAATCAAGTCGACTGAGTTGAACTTCATTTTGTAAACGAGTCTAAAAATTTATTTAAACTCAACTCGTTAAGTCCAAATAAAGACCAAAACGAACCGAACATGAATAACTCGATTATTTTACATATAAACAAATCGAGTTTTGTGAGCTCGAACCGAAGCTTTTAGGTTCGTTTTTATGAACGAGCCACAAAAAATTATTCAAATTCTACTCGTTTAAAAAACTAATCCAGTGTAGATCACTAACAGTGTATTAATAGGGTACATGCTCATACATTTTAGATCTCACACGAATTTGTATCGTATGATTTTTTGTTGTTTTATGATGGGTGACCGACCCACAATTAAAAAAAAAAAAATTCAACGAGATCTGAACTCCCTATGAATCACATCTGCCCTGCCCTTGCCTAGAATGAATGGCCATCACATTCTGGCATGGTAAACTTTGGATACTAAGAAATGGATATATTATATGCTATTTGACTTGCATTCTAATTAAGTGAAGCAAGCTCGAGAAATTTGTCACGAAGAATGTGCGTGCAAAATCCTGCACAATATAAAAACGAGAACAGATCTCTCCCTTGGTGAACTCGAGTGAGCCAGTTGAGTGACCAACCACACTGCTTGAAACAGCTTGCGAGGTCCGGTGGTAACCTGGAACGGCAACGGGAGACCCTGGGGGAGCGGAAGAACGATCCAGTAAGGCTGAAAGAGGTTCCTGGAACAAAGAAGAACAAGTTAGAAGGGTGTCGGAGTATTTTTCGGCGTATCCCCTCCGACGATCTAGTCAGTCTTTGAGAGAGAAAGAGGAAGAAGAAAACACTGAGTGTGTATTGTAGTAAAGAGTTCTTTTTTGCATACCCGTCTTGCCTTTTGCAAGGAGTATTTATACCTCAAAAGCTCATGATTGCTGTCAGTGTAGTCAGTAGGTGATCATTAGGTACAGGCAGTGTGCGCACTGATTCTGATGAGGAATGTCTTCTCTTCTTAACTGCTCGGAGTCCCGAGCAATCAATGTTGCGTCATCGGGATGCCGACGGTACAATGTACTCCTCTCGGGGAGGATACAATAAATGCTCTGTATTAGGAGCATTTATTGCCTTTCATTTTCGAGTCTTACCGCATTGAATGCAGTCTCGTCAAGGGAGTGGTGCAATTAATCGTTTGTGTTCCCAAGTCGCGTGTCAGCAACGGCATGCGGCTTTTCTGTTTTTGATGTGATATCGTATGCCACGCGTCCATCCCCCATTGGCTGTGGCCCCTGCATTCCAGTACGTTCTGACACTAATTGTGTAAGACGAGGTCATGATGAATAGCCTAGACTAGCCTAGGCTAATGACCTGTACGTCAATAGCTTATCCTGGAGTAGAGGAGGTGTCCAGGACGGGGTACACCTCGGCACCGAGGAAAGGCTCATCTCGGAACCGAGGGAGGGATACCGACCGAGGTACCATATCAAACCGAGGCTACGTGTTGGTTGTAAAACGTACTAAATGCCATGATCCTATATGACGAGTACCTCGGGGGCGAGGACCTTTGTGCGCCGATGGTGCTTGATCTTAGCAATAGTGTTTTGGTAATACCGAGGACACGTGTCTTCATCATGGAGTATTTCAGAAAAGTCTCATCAACTGCCCCCCAGCCTTCGATCTTTTGACACCGAGGGCACGCGTCGTAAGGAGACGAAGGGTTTTCCAACAACCACAAATGCTTCATCATTGCCTCGAGCCGCTTTCCCCGGCTTAGGATGTCGTGTGCATTAAATGCGCCGTTTCGTTTTTCGCGCCCAATGATGAAATTGCCACTATATAAATGGGGTTCCTCTTCCATTTTCTTGTTTCGTCATTCCGAACTTCCTCAAGAGAGCCTTTTCTTCAATCTTTGCCGGAGATCTCTTTCCTCCCTCATCGTCAACTGTCCATTTTTCCTTAAAGTCTTAAGGCCAGCAGACCCATCGTTGCTTCT